TGTCGTGGTGTCCATGACTCCCCAGTGGGTCAGACAAAGGCCACAAAGGCCAGAGGCCAAAGGCCAGAGGACAGCTGTCCTGGGGTCAGGGCACTTGGAGCCAAGAGCCACCTCACAGGTCACCCTGTCTGTGCTGACCCTCCCTTCAAACCTCAGCCACTCTTTCCAGAGAGACAATTTGCTGTTAAACTGCTGGTTACACTCATGTCAGTGAGCACCTCCCTGGCTGCTGCATCCACAAGCCTGTGCATAAACAACACCTTTCTGTCTTTCAGCCCAGCCTCATTTCCCAGGCCCTGTCTCATTCAATAATTCACCAGCTGTTCCAGAAAACACTCTGGCTGCAGCAGGACGGGACTTTAATTGATTTGCTGATGTCTGGAGCCCTGTTCAAACATGAAGTCGATGCCAGGGAGGGTTTGCTGCCGTGTGCAGGTGAGGCAATTGCCCTCCCCTGGCCCTCCTCTGGCCCTCCCTCCACGGGTGCTGCAGGACATAAATTCCTGTGCTCTGACCTTCCCCCCGAGCTGCTCCAGGAGCCCTGCAGCAGGAGCCCAGCAGGGAGGAGGCTGTGCTGCTGGGAGCTGTCATTAAGTCCCAGTTGGGCTCTGAATTAATTGGGGAGGCAGCAGAGCCTGCCAAGGCTCCTCGTGTCACAGGGGGGTGTGAGGGCTGGGGGTGGAGAGCCAGGGTTTGGCTGAGAAGATCAGGCAGGTACAGAGCTGAGAGCATCACTTGTCCCTGCCCCAGGGCTCCCCTCAGCCCAGGTGTAGCACCTTTCACCAGCACTTGGGTCAAACCTGTGGGACATGAGTGTTTCCAGCCCCTTCCTTTAAACCTTGGCTTTGTGGCCCTGCAGCAGGAGGAGAGGGACAGGTGAGAGCCCCCTGATTTCCTTCCAGGAAGGAAGGTAGGAAGGAAGGAAGGAGGGAAGGAGGGAAAGCTGCCCCTGCACATCACGCTCAGTGTTTATTTATTTGTCACGTAGCAGTAGTTACAGCTGGAAAAAGCAGGAGGGGGATTGCTGCCAGACAATGTCTCCAGGAGACGTTTTGTTAGTGCCACCAGCTGTCCCCTCGGAATAGAGAGCACGGCTGAGCCATGACTCACACCCCCCGGCTCTGATTTCACTCTCCCACCTATCCAAAAATGTTCCACCAGCCTGAGAACGCCATAAAAGCCACCTTTTCCTGGCAAAGCCTTTGCCAAGCAGGTGTGTGTGCTCAGGACAGGGAACAGGCAGGA